TCCTCCCACTTCTCATATCTCTTAGCAGATGAAAAGGTCATCATTCACCTACAGGCTTTACACACACTGCTGGGGACTTGGGCACTTTCCCTTTGCATCAACCTCATCTCAAGTTGAGGACCTGATGTTACAGAAGCTGTTCCTGTCATCTTAGGTTTTGATTAATTACTTTAAATAGTTTAGAAACTGGAGCAAATGCTTCTTTTGAGAAAAAGATATCTGAGAGAGAAAACATGAGTTGCTTCAGTGAACTCCAATTGCTGTGTGAAGTACACAGTCATTAAATGCTCCAGGAGCTGCTTTAATTTAAACGTGGGGAAAAAAAAACATTGGAAAAGGGCAGTTTTGGTGTAGCAATTAAAAAATAATGCCTTAAATCTTTAGACCTTTCTTTCCAACTTACATAACGGGGACGTATGGGGAAAAGTAGGGCAGCAAACATCACCTCAGCCATGGAGATTGTCCCCAAAGCCTGGCACTTGGCTGCTGTGCCAGGGAAGGAGGCAATCTCCAGTGGCTGAGTGATGCTGAGCAGCTCTGACAGGCTGTCTTTGGCAAAGTACCCACGCTCTTAACACTACCTTGACATGCCAAGGGCACTCACAAAAATCACAGTGAAAAGGAGATGCCCAAGTCCTCCAGCTCGCCCCAAAGTTCCACAGGAGAATCAAGGCTGGAATGGAGCTGCTGCTCAAACAGCGCCAGATGCAGAATGCAACTGGTGAGCAGTGCCTGGGCGTTTTGTCTTGCTGCAAAGGGAATTATCTGAGCAGAATTCTCAGAACTGCAAAAGCAAAACAAAGCCTACACTGTGTTGTGCAGAAAGGTTAAAAAGGAAATGAGAGTTCTCCTTTCTGAGATGAGGAAATCCCCCCCAAACCCACTGCACACACAGAAACACGCATGACAGAATTAGAGGAAAGGAAAAGCACAGGGACTGCAGCTCTTCCACAGTCTGGGGAGATCACTGCTGGCCAAAAAGAGCCTGGTTTGTACACCTGACACCCCCTGCACATATGGCACAGCTTCAGCTTTGGTTGGGACACAATAGATCTTTCTAGAAGCAGCAGATTGTCCATTAGGCCATCAGAGGGTTGGAACTGTCAGACTCACATGGCAGAGCAGGAACAGAGAGCATTATTAAGCAATTATTTCTTCAGTTGTAATGATGAAAGACTTCAGGGCTGAAGTACACAAAGCTCATAAATTAGTGCAAAGACAGCCAGCCTATAAATTGGAAGCTAGTTGGTTAAAACTAAATACAATACATTGTTTTAACTTTCTTCTTCTTCTTGTCATCATTGATTCTTCCTGAAAGAAGAGTCTCAAGGTCTGCAAAAATATTTCTCAAGAATTATCATAACATTTAAACACTGAACTAAACCAAAAATTCTTTACAACACACGAGGTCAAATCTCATTAACCCAAAAGCCATACACACATTTAACTCATTAGCTTGTATGAATAAGAAATTTCCTCTTTTCCCATCTCCCAGCTACAGCTGCTCTGCAATGACTCCAAAAGCCCAAAAAGGACATGGATAACTCACACAGCTTTTATCCCATTAGCCACGGTCTGCAGTTCTCATAATCATTAGCTTTGAAGTGTATTAAACAAACCAGAACACGACCTTAGAGCTGATATTTTAATCACACCACATAAGAACAATTCTTTATCACAGATACTTCATTAAGGCCACCAAACGAGATGCTATTGAGAGCTACCCAAGCCACAAGCAGGCAAGGAAATATTCTCACATTACTTTATAGCTACAAACCCTCTCCAACACAACCTTTTTAGTGATTGCACTGAGGTATTTACACCTGAAATAAACACATTCTGAATGGGATCAATATATCTGTACATCACTGCTTCAAATGCCAAGTACAGAGGGAAAATAAGCACCAAAAACTTCACCGTTATTAATGAACTGTGGGATTAATTTTTTTGTTTGTAATTCTTGCAATGGCTACAGCTTTATGTCCAGGACTGTTTCACAAAGAAGTTGACAGAAAATGTGTCCTCCTGTCAATTCAACAATTCAAGACTCAGAAAGTATTTCCCTGCCTCCTGCAGGAATACATGGTATGTTATTTCCCCCACCTCTACATTCTGCTAATGTTTAATCATCCAGTGCACAAGACCACGCTGGGAAGGCACAAATTAAACCCAACAATTTTTAAGGGATTCCCAAATTAAACCCACTCTGTTTTTTTCATGGATACAAAGTATGTACATATTCATTTTTCATAGATACAAAGTATGTATATATTCATAAAGACACATTTATCACTAATTACAGCTGACTATACAGACATCTTTCCCTACCATCTGCCCATTATATTGTATCAGAGACATGCAAACCACATAAAATAGAGAAAACCAAACATTAACTTTGGAAACCATGCTTACACACCAATTTTTAACATTATTTTGAACACACAGCTTAATTCAGATAAGGACAGCCTGAAGACTCACTATAGGACAGATGTACCCTGTATTAATTCAGCCTGTGCTTTACACAGACAGAATAATGTATTGCCCACACAGAACACAAATTGCTAGAAATTATTTTAAAAGGTATTCAGGCATGCCAACAATGTGTCTTCAGTGATGACGAGCACTCAAAAAACAAATTTGAAATTTTGAGAAGTAAAACATTAGTTGCAAAAGCCTTTAAAGAGCAGGGAGTAGTCAGATCTTGCTGTGAAGAATTCTACCAGCACTAACCCATTTTCATGGCTACGTGCTGTGATACACAAGGTTATAAACTGAGCCAAGCTACACATAAATACAACATTGACATCAACAGAATAAATTTCAGGAGAGTTGTTACAACAATAGTGCTCCCAGAACTGTTCACCCTGAATATGAAAGGAGATGACTGACACGTTCACGAATAACTTTCATCTGCGTGTGAGCAAATCCCTGACAATGGCAGGTGAAGAGACAAACTCAGAGCAAATTTAAAAATCCCAACTCAAATAGGACTAGGGGATGTGAAAATACAGGCAGGACAGGCAGTCTCATGAGGTCAAATTTTGGAGCTCATGACTGCCTTTAACAGGAAACTTTACACTGCCACAAGCCTTCACATTGCATTACATCTTAGGCTGCTCTGTGTAATTCTGTAGACAACCCACACCTTAAAAAAAACCCATCACCCTTCTCTGCTCCCTCCCTTCCCTTGGCAATTATTCCTCATCACACTCAACCAAGCCAGAGTAATTCTAAAAAATACAATGGATGTAAAATAACAAAGTGTGAATCTGGTTCAACCCCAAGAACTCCAACCAAGACCTGACAGAATCTGCAAAAGTATCACAAAACTGATGGAAGATCTTAAGTTTTAGCAGCTCCATGACTGCAGCTTTGTAGCTTTATTTAGAGCTAATGAAATACTAATTTCACTGAACGGATAAATAACCATTAAGCAGACATTTAGCTCAATCTATGCTACATCATTTTAATAAACACCTCCCCTCTACACAGAAGGGCGTAATTTTCCGTTAGACTAAATCACCAGATCACAACAAAAATGAGGAGAAAATTGAAGATTTTAGGTGATTAACAGCACCAAACTCATACACATGCTGCAGGTTTTAAGCAGCCCTTTAACACCAGGATGCATAGAGTACTTGATATGTGAGAGATCACCCATCGACATGTGAGAGATCTGATTAAAACAAAACAAGGCGGTGTGGGAAGGAGAAAATCCACACGTGTGACAACCCAGGTGCCTTTTTTCCTATTTGTTACCCCACCCCGAAGGAGGAGATGTGGATGGGTGACACACACGGACACCTGCACATGGTCCCTCTGTCCCCAAAGGCACCCAACTCTTCCTACCCTGCCAGCAGCACTGCAAGAAGTTACAGCCAAAGCCTGACAAGTTTAATGCTTCATTCCCACGTTCACACTGGGGAATTCAGTGCCTTAATGTTAGGTAGAAGCGAACAGCATTTTTTAAAAGTGAGCGATAACAGCGACACATCAGAAATGCAAATTCGGACCTAGAATTGAATTGATGCTTTAATATTAACATTAAATTCTAATCGCTGAGCTCTTCCTAACTAAAAACTCCAGACCCCAAAGCTTACTAGGAGCAGAACCACCCTGACAAATAATGCCCAAGTTTAGTTCTTTTAATGTCCAGCACCGGGGCGCACAGACGCTCTGCGGCGCGCCGAGCGAACCGCCCGGACGGGGCTGCCTGAGGCGGGCGAACCCCTCACGGGCGGGCTCCGAAGCCCAGGGCGGGCTGGGTAGGGCTGAAAAGGACTGGGAAGGGTCTGGGCGGCCGCAGGGAGCCGCGGGACAGCGCGGGCGGGTTCCGGGGCACGGCACCGCGACCCTTCCCTCACCCGAGCCCAACTCCGCCGGGGTACGGGCTGAGCTCTGCGGGGCCGGACGGAGAGGGCGTCCCGCCCCGGCCGCCCGCAGCAGCCGAGAGAGCACCGGAGGGTTCCTGGGCTCGCCTGCCGCTCATCCCACGCCAGAGAAGCAGCTCTGATCCCGAACGCCTCCTCTCCCGCCGCAGCGGGCGCAGCCCGTGCCTGCCTGCCTCCCTCCGGCGCCGAGGGAACGCCGGCGACCCCCGCACAGGCAGCAGCTCCTCCGCACCACCGCCACTCCGGCACGGTGTAAGAAACGAGCCGGAGCCGCCCGGTTTATTGGGTCCCACAGCCCCGCGAAGGGACGGGCGCACTCACCGGCACTCCCGCCGCCGCCGCCCCGCCCGCTGCCCGGCGGTGCTGCCGCCGCTCCGCGCTCCGCCGCGGCTCTGCCGTGCAGGGAGGGCTGTGCTCGGCTCCTCTGAGCCCCGCTCCGCCCGGGCGCTGTCCCCGCCCCGGCCCGCCCCGCCGAGCGCTCCCGCCCCCGCTCCGCTCGGCATTGTGGGGCTTGTGGTCGCGGAGGGCGGACTACGAGCCCCAGGGCCCCGCGCGCGGTTCCGGACAACGCCTGGTGTGTGGTAACACCGCGGCTCTTCCTCCTCCTCCTCCTCCTCCTCCTCCTCCTGCTCCTCCTGCTCCTCGCGGGCGCTTCCGGCGCGGCGGCGGCGGCGAAGCCCCTCGGGAGCAGTGGGGGCTCGGCGGGCCGGGGCAGGTGAGGTGCCGAGCCCTGCCCTGCCCGGCTCTCGCGGGCTGGACGCGGGGCCCGCCGCGCCCTCCGAGGCTGCGAGAGGGGCGGCCGGGCTGAGGAAGCGGCTGAGGGCGGCCTCGGCGTGCGGGGAAGGTGCGCGGGGTGTCCCTTCCCCTCCCGGCCGGGCCGTGACCTCCTTCCTCCGGCCCTGAGGCAGCGCCCGGGGCTTGTCCTTCTGCCCGCCCTTCCCGCGGCCGCGGGGCTGGGGCCTGGCCCCGCTCCGGGCTTCCCGGCCTGGTGCTGGTTCGCTCGGGCCGGGCCCGGCGGGCGCAGGCCCGGATGTGTTTTATTTTTGTGTGTATTTATTTTTAGCTCGTCCTCTCGGAGCGGAGCGCTGTCAGGTGGCTGCGGCGGGCAGGGAGAAAGGGCGCCTCGGCTCCTTCCCCCTTCCTGCGCCAGGGGAGGTGTAGGGTGAACATTAGGGAGAAATTATTCACAGAAAGGGGTGATTAGCCAGCGGAATGGGCTGCCCTGGGAGGCGGTGGAGTCACCGTTCCTGGAGGTGTTTTAAGGAGAGGCTGGACGTGGCAGTGGGTGCCATGGTCTGCTTGACAAGGTGGTGCTTGTTCAAAGGTCGGGCTCGGTGGTCTTGGATGTCTTTTCCAGCCCGATTGATTCTGGGGTTCCTCCTCCGCAGGCTCCCCCCGGCTGTGCCCCCCTTGGGGACTGAGCACTCAGGGCTGGGCTGTCCCATTAAGTCGCTCACTGAACGGGTGAGTTGGGTTGGTGTTTTTCCTGTAGCTCGCACATACTGCGTGGCTGAAACCTTGTGCTGTTCCTGTTATCAGAGGAACTAATTCACCTCTGGTATGTGTTCACACGCTGGAATGTGTTTTTGTACCTTTGGAGCTGTGTCATACCTATTTGTGTTTTGGTAAAGTAATGGCTTCACTTTCACATTCCCAAAGAGGTGAAAAAGAAAGAGAAACGGGGATATGTTGTTGTGGTTATGTATTCCAACATTCATGACCTGTTTCAGTTGTGCTGGATAACAGTTCTGGTGGTGCTGACTGCTGGAACTGGAGCACAGGCTGTGGGGTCTCTTGTGAGACACACTCTGGGTGTATTAGGACAGATTCAATCACTTCCATTTCGAAGTCCAGCAAAAGAACACGGACTAATTATAAGCCTGACTTCAGGCTAGGCTTGGTTTTTGTTTTTTGAGTTGATATGGTTCTAAAAATAGGCATCTTGGATTTATCACAGGTCTGTGTCACTTCTGAGTTAGTCATAGAACTGCTCTTACAGTAATCAAATGCACAAGCAGTTCTGCTTTGCCAGAGTGGATTTCACTGCAGGTGACTGTTACACGTGTGTGGAGATGTTTGAAAACTGCATTTCTGTTCTGGTGAGAGGAATTAGAAGACACTTTTAAACTTCAATACTGGTGACATTCCTTTTATTGACTCTGCAGTGAAACTATTTGGTGTAAGAATCAGCAGGATGTGGAATCAGTTCAGTAGGATGCCTTTCAAGTCTCTTTTTATCATTGCTGATTTTAAAATACAGATTGTTATCCTAATACTTGATCTGTATGTTAATCCCAGTGAATCCACCCATACTCAGCTTTAAAAAGAAGGAAAGTAATTCTGTATCTGAAACACAAAGCTTTGAAGCTTTGTATCAAATAATCTAAGTTATACAATGGGAAATAATTGCAATAGATAATTAAAATTCAGTGGCAGGTAAGGTAGCATTTGACTGAAAAAGAAAGATGTGTGGGTTAGGGCTTTTTTTAAATTCAAGCGACCATTAATGATAGAAACAGAGTTACCAAGACAGGTTGTGTGGGTGTGTATATAGTTAAAAGAGCAAATTCTACAATTTTTTATTTTTACTTCCATAAACTTTACAACAGCAGTAGTAAATTATCTACACTCCCTCCTCCCCTGCACATTGCTCTTACATTTTGATTCAAGCTCTGCCTCTGGATTCAGATGGAATTTATGCTGTTATTTCCCTTCCCCCACTCTTTCTTCCAGGACTTGAATGAATTTTTCTGGTAACTCGGGGATCTCAGATCAGGTTAAAGGTGAAACCTCTTCTTGAATCCTCCCTGCAAAAAGTGCAGCAGAACCTCTTGGCAGTAAGGTCTTTTCTAGCAGGAATGGAGCTCTGATTTTTGCTAGAAGCCAACCACTGAAATAATAATATTTGCAATCACTGCCTTGGGCCTTGTTCTTCTGTAGTACTTTTCTAAAAAAGAATATTAATGTCTAAGCACTTCCCTGATCTGGGGTAGATGGAGCCTGGAGAAGGGAACAGAGACAACATCAGATCTGCTGATGACAGAGCTGAAACCCTGCCAATTGATACCAAATATTTCTGTTGGTTTAAAACTTGAAAAGTTGAAATCATGAGAGTCTGCTCTCTTTGCTGTAAGCACTGCTTCAGAAGGTTGTGCTACACAAACACCTTTCTTTGATCAAACCTCTTCAGCCTGGCCTAGGAGCAGGTGTGGATTTGGGGAGGGTCCTGGGCATGTTGTGTTCTTGTTAAGCAGCTCTGCTTGATTTGACTGCATGACAATGACACACATAGAGAAAGCAGATTGTCACCTCAGACACTGACAATGGTGGTTGTCCATCTGGGACTTGTGGTGGTCTGTGCTCCTCACCCTTCTTGGCAGGAGTTGGGTTTTTGGGGTTTTTTTTCTGTTAAAGTTCAGTTGAATGATTTAAAATGTCATTGGGTGGCTGTGGGGGAATAGGCCTGTCAAAGAACCTTTCCAAATCTATTCCTCATCTAAAATATACCAGCTCTGTCCATGTTTGCTGACTGGCTGGGATCATATTTTAGTGCTGGGACTTAAAGGTTAGAATGTAAGATTTATCCTGACAGTGCAAGCACGTATTCCATGTTGGTGCATCTCTTGGAATGCAGCCTGCTGTGTTGGATGGGCCAGGACTGAGCAGTCAGGGCTCTATTAACTGGTTTTTATGTATTTAGTTGGCAAATCCAGATTCTGTTTCAATTCCTGTATCATTCTGTGCATTCCCTCATTGCACACCCAGAGATTTGGGGTCCCTGGAACACAGAGGGGGATCAGGCTGACACTGAGCTCAGTGTTTGGCTCTGTCCTGCTGCCTTCTCCTCACCTGCCCCCTCACACCAATTAACAACTTTGCCAGCACAGTAACACCTTTTCTGCATCCTACAGTTTTCCAGGATTTTCTCACCTCTACCACTCCACTGTGCTGCCCTAATAAATCACCTTCTCATGGAATCTTATTTCGCCTTTTGTGAGAATGTCAAATGAAGCAGATGACAGGTGAAACTGGGGTAAACTCCTCTCAAAGAAAAGGCTCTTTTGGGATTGGAGGCACTGAAGTTAAGCTGTTACAAGACACTGTCAGGAAGTCTGGCAGCTGTGCAGAGCTGCTTTTGATCACCTCCTAAAAGAAATGCTGAAAGCTCCTCCTTGCTGCTGATAATGTGCATTAAACTGGCTTGAGTTGAGTCAGGCCATTTGGAAGGTTAGTGGGCTTGCTGATAATTGATCTAATTAGAACAGAAACTTCAGTTTTCATGAGGATTTGGTCCTTAATCAGGATTGAGACCACCTTCAAGGGTATTTGGATGTAGTTTAGTGCAGCTGTGACAAACTGACTTTCAGTAACACAATGAACACAGAGTTTTGTGAAGATAATTATTCTTTCTATTTAACACTAGCAAAGACTGAAGTGAATAAATTGCATCCAAAAGATGTGAAGTTGATTCCTGACTGTAAATATAAACAGTTTGAGAATTTTAGCAGTCAGGTCCTATGATGCTTCCTAGTGTATCTTCTGGAAAACAGGAAGATTTCTGAAATAATGAACAAGCAGTGTGATAAACGGAATATATTTCTTTTCATATCTTGGCACCACAAAGCATTTGGTGTTCTTAAATATTTCTTGTGTGCACATATATATATATAAACCCACCTCTTCAGTTGCAAAATTGGTATCCTTTGTGTTAATATAAATCCAAGTGTTGTAATTTTTTTTTTTTTTAGGAGTGTCAGTGTCTGGAAAAGGGGTAATAGATAATGTATAATTGTTTTTATATGAGGGTTGTAAGTGTACCATGGATTAGTAACAATAGCTTATGGTTCTTCAGGAGAAAATGAGTTCTTCGTGGTAGCTCACAGTGTAATAGGTTTTCATCATCATAAAAATCCATCATTTCACTTAGTATTTCCTTTTGTGTGTGTGTGGATACTGCTAACCCATAAAAACAAAGTAATTATATCTAATGGCAGTTTTGTCCTTTTTTGCCCTTCTTCCTGTGATAAAAATCTTTTGGGTAGAACAATGTTCAGTGACCTGATTTAACTATTTAAAAAACTTACTCTGAGACTACAGATGGAAATGTGCTATAAATTCATCTGTGAATGCAGGTGTGTGAGGGGACACTCACTGAACCTCCAGAAAGGAGGAATTCAACAGCAAAAAACAAATCTCCATCCAGCAGGGAATACACATGGATAACAAATGGGACAGCTTGTACCTGCAGTAGGGAGTGCAAACTTGTTCAGACAAGTTGCCTCCCCCCATGTGAGCAGACCTGGCATGAATTTATGTAACTGAAACAAGTTCTTGGGAAAACACTCCACTTCTTGAGGAATGATGAATATTCACTTGTGTTCCTCCGTGTTCTTGGCAGCTGTAAAATACCAGGGGTGGGTGATAAAGAGTGAGACCCCTGATTATTGCAGAATATGCATTTCATCCATCCAGACACTTTCTAAAGCCTCAGCAATCCTTTTCTGGGGCTGGAGGAATCAGCTCATCTGTGGCACTTTGAGCTGGGACAGCAAGAGGAGCAAAGTGAGGTTTTGCAGTGAGCAGTCCATGGTAGAAGATTGTATAAAGTTTTTACTGTAGTCATGTTGAATTTTTTCTTCAGCTTTTACTGTTCCCAAAAGAGAAATGCACAGGATTTGTAGTCATCCAGTTTCTTCTCTGTGCTGACTGTAATCAGTAACAAATTTCACTTGTGTAATTATGGCTAAACAATTATAGATCTGCTCTGGACAGAAAATACCTGTTCTAACAGCCTGAAAATCTTCAGCCAGTGCAGAGCATAATGAGGGATATGGCTTGGAGAAATGTCCTGGCATGTTCTTAACCTGTTCATACTCTCAGGAAGTGATATTGATGGCTGGAGCAGTTTCTGCTGTTTCTTACCATTTCACTCTTTTCACTTCTTACTAAAATGTCAGTGAGTTACACAGACATGCAAATGCCAGGTGTCTGGAGCTCGCTAGGAGAAAAAAAATCCCTCTTCTAGTGCATTAAATCCTCCAAGCAAATCTAAAAATTAAAACCCTTTATATCTTTCTTTTTAATCTTTATTTCTGACTTGGACTTCAGGTCTTTAAACTCAATTATGTCATATAAAATATTTTTTAAAGAATCTGATTAAGAGAAAATACAGCAGGCTGGAACAAGGGCTTTTTATCAACTGTAAGGTGACCTTTTTTCTTTTCCACATAATTTCTGGGTCTGAGCAGTGATGGATATGATGAGCTGGGCTGGGTGGAGAACTTTTAAACCAGAGGTTCAGTTACTGGAACAATAATTTTCCATTGAGTTAACATAGCTGGTGGCACACCCTGAGTGGAAACATGACTTCAGCTTATATTAAAGCAAAGATGCAGTGTTCACGTTCAGAGGGTGGAAAGGAGGCACCGATCTCCAGCAGAATCACAGCTTGATGCATGTGCAAGATGGAGTATTTATAAATATACCTGTTTATGGGTAGCTTTAATAGTCACAATGCATCTGCATGGGGCTTGGGCTGCAGCATGGAGTGCTGTCCAAATTTTTCCTGGATGGGAGTTGTCAGGAACCTTATGCTGCTGCCTGTGAGCGGTGGCAAGATTTTGGTAAATAGCACATAAAATCCCTGCTTTAAGGAGAATTGATTCCATAAGAACTTGAAGGGGAAAACACTTGGAGCGGCACCTTTTCTTTAAAATATTCATTTAATAGATTTCTGTTAGTTTTGAAGTTACACCAAGTGATCATTCCATGTTTACTTGACTCATGTGATGGGAAATCCCTGGTTTCTAGACAATAGAACTCACATTAATCTGTGCCTTGTCATTTTTAGATCCTGTCCCTCTCAAGATTTGTAACTGTGTGTTTGTTTTCTCTTTTCTCACACACCCTAAGGACAATAGATTTCCCAAGTTCCTCAAGTATTCTTGCACAACGAGGAAAAAGAGGAGACATTTCAGTGAATGAGGAGTTTTTTGCTTCTATAGTATTTTCCTTGAGAAGTGGCTCTTTGAATGAGGATGACAATGGAAGAGATGAAGAATGAAGCAGAGACCACTTCTATGGTTTCCATGCCTCTCTATGCTGTTATGTACCCTGTCTTTAATGAGGTGAGCTCCAGTTTACCTTGGAATGCAGTAATCCCCTTTATTTTGGGAAATGAGGCCACAGGAACATGCTGTTCATCTTGGGAAGGCTTTGTCTAACACATCTTCTCTCTCTGCATTGGTTCACCCTTCTTGCCATCAAAGCTTGCTGGTTGTCTTGGTCCTGAGCTTTTCTCTTACCTTCAACACAGGATTTTGACAAAAATGCCAGCTCTGGTATTCTCTGGCAGGAAATGGCACACAGTCAAACCTGTGAACAGCTTGATGCATTTTAATTTTACTGCTAATGGTCGTAATTTAATGTTTGCTTTTCTCTGAATATCAGACATTGCCAAGATGTTCTCACAATCTTCTGTTGGACTTTTGCTGCAAAATGCATCCAGTGATTTTTGTTTTCATTTTTGGGGGGAACTGTTATCTTTGGGATTAACTTTATAGTATCTCTGAAGTGAGACCAGCAATTTGAAAGCTTCTGTCAGTCCCCCTTCCCATTCTGCTTTATGGTGTGATTACTGAATTTGTTTTGTTCTGATAACAACAGAATGCTAATCATTAATTCTAAACTTTTATTGCAGCTAGAAAGAGTAAATCTGTCTGCAGCTCAGACACTGAGAGCAGCTTTTATTAAGGTGAGAAGTAACTTGTATTGAAAAATGGTTGTTTCAAAAGTAAGCTGTGTAAGACAAAGCTAAAAGGTCAGCTCTCTTGTTTCCTTGTCTTTTTATCTGAGACTTCATCCTTGATCCAGTCGTCTAAAAATAAAATGGACAATTGCATGAACTGGAAGTTTGAGATGTCTGCAGATGTCATGAGTAGAAATCTGAATGAGCAATTTTAAACAGACTCTTCTCTTGTCCATACAGAACAAAAGCTTAAATGAGGGAGCAGTCAGTGAATAAATAATCAACTTAGTCTAAAACCCACAAGATTTGTAGAATAGGCTCTCATGAGCAATAGGCACGTAGCAGACTTTGAAATTGGTTTACAAAGTGAGTTGTAATGGGATTTTTTTGTGGATGAAGTTCAGTGTTTGTGTAGAAATCCAGCAGTAAATGGAAAAAAAAGATTCTTCTGACTTTTCCATTGTATTCCTAAGGAGTAAAAATACAGATATTCCTTTACATTGCTTTATTGAAGTGGTGATCTTTTCAAATATTGAAACAAAATAATGGCAGGCATGAGATATCTGAGCTGTGCAAATCTGGGGTAGTTCCCTGTTCCTGCACTGAAATCTGAATGTACCTTGATGGGCTGAAGACTCAAAGTGAGCTCCTGCAAGTGTGGGTTGGTTTTGTGTGTTTTCACAATTGGTGGGAAGGAGCTAAGCTGGATGCAAATAATGTAAAACTGAGATGATGGTAAAAATGGTAGTGCCAGCTAAAAAACCCACAGAGGGCTCATTTTTCTTGCACACAGAGCAGTTTCTGGTGGCAGCACAGGTGATGTGAACAGCTCCGGTGTTAATCCAGCTCTGTACTTAGATATGTCATCAATCAAAAGCTGGGTTTCTTCTGAAACAGCAATTCCCAGATGACGTGTGAGCATATGATGTGATTCATGAGGGGCACATTTATAAATGTCAGGGGGAAGGTGGGGGAGTAGCGCCTGTGTTGGAGTGAATTAAATTCCAGGGGATACCATCTTTGTCTTAAAGCCTGGTGTTTATGAAAATATAACAGGGTTGAGGCATTTATTAAAACCTTTCTCACTCAAATTAAAATGAGTGCAAGGGCTTATTGGAAAAGTTGCTTATACAAAATCAGTGATGTAGTCCAAGAAAAATGAATTTTGTAGTGGACAAATGTTTTTAATGTAATCTACTGGTCTAAAGCCATTAGACATTCAGAGTTCCTAGCAAACTCCTACAGGACCTGAAACAACTTACATGAAAATCTTAGTGTTTGAAATGTCCAGGTCTGGCTTATTTAAAAATAGAAAATTTCTCTGCTTTACAGGCTGAAAAAGAAAATCCAGGTCTTACACAGGACATCATCATGAAAATTCTGGAGAAGAAAAGTGTGGATGTGAATTTCACAGAGTCTCTGCTGCGTATGGCAGCTGATGATGTAGAAGGTAACAAAGCCTGTGTTGGAGAACTGTATTTTTAATTACACTGCTAACTAGGAACATGCAAATCTCTATTTCTGGGGTTTTTTTTCAGAAGAGATTATTTGTTTCTTAGTAGAATTTTCTCAGCATGGTAGAAGAAAATTTATATTTTTGAATACTGCTGTTGGAGAAATTAAATTTCCCTTAAGACCACACTTGACTAATAAGAGAAGGAAAGAAATAAAATGAATGTTCAGAACTATGTTTTTATGGGTGCATAGTTCACCTTTTGCAATGCTAATAACCAGGAAAAGGCAAATATGGAGTATAACACCCTCTTTTTTTTTTCCTTCTTCAAATTAAAAGCAGCAGTTACACTGTCACAGAAGGAGAATATACTGCAGGCTTTAAGTTATTTTAATACTGAATTTGATGACTTTAATGTCTCAAATAAAGTAAGATGGGCTCTTTTTCCAGCATGCAGTAATGAAGGTGATTGTTGCACTGTCCTGATTCACTCAGGGGTTATTCACTGCAGTTCTGTGCTGTTCACCTTCACATTCACCCTGCTGCATTTTGTGTCGTGTTTTCAGCTGTCACTACTGACTTCAGGACAAACTAATGGTGGTTTTGAATATGTTCTTTTTGCCAGAGTATATGATTGAAAGACCTGAACCTGAATTCCAAGATCTTAATGAAAAGGCACGAGCACTTAAACAGATTCTTAGTAAGATTCCAGATGAGATCAATGACAGAGTGAGGTTTCTTCAGACAATCAAGTAAGTACAATATGATGGATTTTGCTGCAGGTGGAGAGATCAAACTTGCTGTATTTAGGTCTGAGTGTTGAAATTCTGTAGCTGTAGCAGCATTGTTCCCATTGCCAGAGAGCCTGATCCCACTTCGAAATGATGAGGATGTTACTTGACCAAACTTGCTGAGCTTGGCCTCCTCCATCATGTCTGACACTTCCTCTGTAGGGGCTGCCCTGAGAAATACTTGACTGCTGGAAAGGGATTCAATTCCAGCATTTCATGGCATCTCCTGAGGATATTGAAATTCTCTTTTTCTTGCCCAACAGGGACATTGCAAGTGCAATAAAGGAGCTCCTTGACACAGTAAATAATGTCTTCAAGAAATACCAGTACCAGAACCGGCGGGTACGTGCACCAGCTCTCCATCCAATAATTCTGATAGCAGCACAAGAGGCATCCTTTGATCCAAGGATGAACAGCAGAGCCCAGCTGGTCAATGAAACCATGCTTTAACAGCAGAATGGTTGTATGATAGCTCTCAGGAATTCTAGAGCAAATAATTATTCTTCTTTGTTTCTTCTAAAGAAAAAAAAACCAAAATTTTTATTCCTGATGTAACATTAATTAATTTTCTGATCAGTTTAACCTTAAGGTTCTCGCTGTACACAGAAATATGTGAACTAAGACTCTGTTCCTGGTGTTTTTGTTTTTGTAGGCACTTGAGCACCAAAAGAAAGAGTTTGTAAAATACTCCAAAAGTTTCAGTGATACTCTGAAAACCTATTTTAAAGATGGAAAGTAAGTATGCTTTTGTCCTGTTGTTTCAACAATTTACATAATGACTAACAGGAAAATAGGACAGGCAGAAGCTGCCTTTCTTAGGAGTTGCCTAATTATTTCCTTACCTATGTCCTCTCATTACCATGGCTGCCTTAAAATGCTGCTTTTTTGCCTTTGAGGAAAGGGAAAGTTGTTCAGTTCACCACCATGAAACACCCATGTGTGGTGTTAGTTTTGAATTTGAATGAGAAGTTCAATTTCCTGGCCCTGTGTGGGTTTTCTCAGTGCAGATAAAAGGACAAAGAAATTATAGGGGTTTTTTTGTTGAGAAAAGTAATTTACCTATTTGAAGTATCATTTGCAAATACAAAACATCTGTGCAGGGTTCTCTTTGATTTACATTTTTATTGACCTTTCTTTATAGACCCTCACAGTATCTGGAATGATTCAGCTGAATCTTTTTCTAGCTGAGCATTTTAGCCCTCAAACTGAGGCTTTTTCCAGGCCTTCACCTTGGGTTTTGCAGTCACTGTTCCTGTATAATTCACTGCAGTGATTCTTTTGGAGGATGAATGGATCCCCCTCAGATTCTGACAGTGCCAAAATGTTCTGTTTTAAAGATGGAACCAACTTTGATGTCAGCTCTTGTTGAGCTTGGCAAAGGCTGAGAGCACCCAGGAGATGCTGCATTATAAAGGAGAGAAGAGTCTTGAGACCAGCTGGGAGTACAGTCCTGCTCCCATCAAAGCATTCTTGTTTTTCTCTCCTTTCCCTGAAACTGGGGCTAAATTTGATACCAAAATGAGAAGTTTAGGCTTTGGTAGCTTTGATTCCTGGACAGAAGTACTGTGTAGGCTTAATTTAAAGTGTGTTAATAATTTGCACTAGTGTAAGAAATTCCATCCTGTATTTGCCATCCTTGGGAAGTCAGGAGGAATTTCTGTCTGAGCTGCACATGGGGTGAGATCCCTGCTGCCCCCAGCACTGCTCAGACGTCATTGCTGAGCTGAAAACTTCTGTGACCCCACACTTTCCTGTGCAGAAAGGTAACTAAAATAGCATTGCTGTCACATGTGGGCACCTTTAGTATTCCCTGAGGGAAGAGTTGCCAATTCTGGAATTCCTAAGGGGTGAAGAGCTCAGCTTTGGGAAGGTGTTTAACAGTCACAGAGTCAGAAAATGGCTGTGACCTTAAAGATCATCTGGCTCCAAATCCCAGTCATCTGCTCCATGGTTTTCCCTTGGTTATCTGAGTCCCAGAAGGAAAGGATTGAGATGTCAGTGATGATAGAGAGCCAAATTCTTTTTCAATTCCTGCCAAATCAACACGGCCTTCCTGGGATTAGCCATGCAAATGAGGCAGGCTGGCTGCCAGCAGGGAGCTTCAGGTAGGTCAGCACAGGGTGGAACTTCCCTGTGCTTCCAATTCTCCAGTTCTAGATGCCAGTGATGCTGGCTTTCTCCCCTGCCATGTTTCTGGAGTGTCTGAAGCAATATTCTTCTCTTTCCACAGGGCAATAAATGTGTTCATAAGTGCCAACCGACTAATTCATCAAACCAACTTGATACTCCAGACCTTCAAAACTGTGGCCTGAAAATTGTATATGTTGAGAGTTGTACTTTTCAATGGTGGATAGGGTACCTTTATATGTAAATTTTAAAAGTTTTGACTGTATAAATTATCAGCCCCTCTCGAGGGGCCTAATGCAGGATTTTGAATGGGATTATTGCCATCTTACACCATATTTTTGTAAAACATTGTAGCTTAATCATAATCTCACAAGAAAGATTTTGCATCACTTTTTGCTATTATCATTCTTTTCAGAATTATAAGCCAAAAGAATTTACGCCTTAATGTGTCATTATGTAACATTCCTTACAAGAATTGTAAATATTTGGTGTTCTGTTTCTGACATTTTAACTTGAAAGCGGAAAACTGCAAGATTATGTATTTAACAATATTGGTGGCAAATATTCAATAAATAGTTTACATCTGTTAGACTGTCTTTTTGTATGTGAACAAAAGTGCATAACTCATCTTTCTAGAACTGCAGAACATTCATTCAGTAGAAAAAGAAATTAAAATTATTTGGGTGCTTAAAGCTACTGGGAGTTCAAATCAGTGTAAAATGAGGGGTTTTCCTTAAAACTGAGATTTTGGCTGTTATCTAGACCAGAATATCAGAATAATTATATTAAAATGTCTTTGAGAAAGTAATAAATAAACCCAGAAGTGAGATGTGCTTTTTGTTTTTGATAGAAACTAGATCTCACTTCTATCTTAGTCTTCTGTTAGTGGCGAGTTAACAGGCTTTTTTACTCCTAGGCTATTCCAAGGTTTGGAGCACAGGTTTATTTGAAATATATGCAGCAAAGATTGAATTTAAAACTCTTCAGATAAGTGGGTTTGAATTTGTCCCCTTTGGGAGGGAGGAGGATTGGAGCCAGAACTCTTCCAGGTAGCACTAGTGATATCTATACTATGCATGCCATAAGGCAACTTTGTTTTTTCAGGGAATTGAAATCATGTGAGACCTCGACTGACAAACCTTGGCTGTGTAGATGGTTTAGAGCTGCTGCTGGACAGGTGGAAATTTTCCCTTTGTGATTTCCTGGTGATGTTTCACAAGTTCTGACGAATCCCTTGGAAGTGCACCTCGAGCTGATTTGGAAATAGAATAAACCTCTGGAAGTTTGCAAAATCTGTGGCCATTACTAGGAAGCTTAGGGGAAGAATGTGAAGCAGCTTCTGAAAGCTGTTGCAGGAGGAGCACTCCAGGCTGAAACAGCACAATTGCTCCAGAACTATTCCTTGTTTGGCTGTAAGTGGTGAAGAAAAGGTCCCTGCAGATTGTCTGGCACACTGGCCTGGTGCTGTACTGCTCATCTGGGGCAAGTGCCTTATCCCAGGTACAACAGCTGGGTCCTTGCATCTGCTGATCTGAAAGGATCAAAAAGGGGGGAAATGCAAAGTGCAGCCTCCCAAATAGCACTGGATGTTCTGCTGTCTGTTTGTGCATGGAATTGTTTCCTGATGAGAGCACTGACTGTAGTCAAGTAGAACAATGTGAAGGAGAGTATTGTGTAAAAATGAGTTCTTTGGGAATGTATGTTGTGCAATTTTTGGTTACACATAGAGCTATAAGCAGGACGTGGTCCTTAAAGCTGGCTGGTCAGCCTGTTCTCTGTTCTGACAGTGGTGTCTTGTGTCCTTAGCAAAGTGAGCTTAGTCAAGGGATGCAGAATCAATTTATAGTTCAAACTTTCTGGTATTTCTTAAAGCTTGGCCTGCTGAACTGTCATTTTTTGGCAAGTGGTAGAAGAACAGCAATGTTGGAGCTGACGAAATTAGAGTGATATTTAATCTGCATCTTTGCATTCTGTAACTAAAAGGGTAGAGTAGTCTCCTTGTGGGTGATTCTCAGTTTAAGTCATAGCTCCAGAGGGCTTCATGAAGATCCGTGAGTCAGGGAGAAGGAAGGGAAAGGCCTCTGGAGTTTGTGATACTTCATCTGTCCTGGAAAGAGTGTTTGCTACTGGAGAGGCTGCAGCAGTGGCTGTAGAGAGAGAGAAACACAAAAGATTGGGTTGTGGTTTATGAATTGGACCTGATTCCCACAATATTCTGAGTTTTCTCTGTTTTCTTGAATTGAGCAGGACGGTAATTAGTGCTGGCAATCATAAGTTGAATGAGACCATGTCTATGTCTATGGGTGGTAAAAAATACATCTAAAAAATCCACCTATGACTTGTGTCCCACACAAGCTGCTGTGTTGTGTCCTGCCAGTCGGTTCCTTGTGAAATCAGAGGCCATTTCATCAAGAAATGAACTGTTCCTGTTCATCAGTTCTTCCCAAAACCTTTATTGGGTAAAAAGTACCAAATACAGGGCTAAGCTTCAGGTTGTCTGGCCAATGTGTTCTGTTTTATTTATGACCTCATTGTGATTTCTCTATGTTACCCTTAAAAGTAATGGAAAATGATTCATTGTAATCCATGTCTGGTAATGGGAAAACTTGAAAACTGGTGTCTTCAGGTCACACTCTTCTGTTGTGTGCAGTGAATCCATATCTAGTGGTCTTATAAACCTTTCATTTCCACTGAATATGAGCTGGGACATATGTCTGTCAAATTTTATTGTGGTTTTGCACTTTATTATTCAAATTACCTGAGTAGCTAAAAGATAAGTTTCTCTTAAGGATTTCTGATACAGCAGTTAGTGTTGCAAAATGCTCTTAGGAAATTTCTGCTGTGAATGTGGGTTATAACTGCTATGATAATGTTAACATACAGAAAACCAATCTAATAAACAAAATAAAACTTTGTATATTTGTTAATGAAGCAAAGAACCGTCTTAATCACTTGTTTTGATTTTCCTCAGCCTGTAAGGAAGTGAAGGAAAGCTTAGGCTGGCTTGGTTTTGGCTGGAAGCTTTAATCCTGATCCCCAGATTTGTGTCCAGGTGTGTGAGAGGTGCCCAGCTCAGAGCAAGGTTTATCCTGAGCTGAGGGGAAGTGGTGAGTATGAAACATCTCAGTGTCCTGGTGTCAGACCTTCCCTGGCTCCAGCCAGCACCTGTCACAGACACATTTTCTGAAAAATCCTTTCCTTAAGATCTTTTCTCCTAAGAAGCTGAGAAGCCTCAAAACCAAAATATAAATGATTATCTGCTGTGGAATGCAACAGATGCATCTGAAATTAATCTCGTGTGGTTGTTTCTAATTAATGGCCAATCACAGTCAGCTAGTTCAGACTCTGTCTGAGACACAAGCTTTTGTTTTTCATTCCATTCTTTTTCTATTCTTAGCCTTCTGATGAGATCCTTTCTTCTTTTAGTATAATTTTAATATATATCCTGAAATAATAAATCAGCCTTCTGAAAAATGGAGTCAGATCCTCATCTCTTCCCTCATCCTGGGCAGATAGTGTCAGTCTGGATTAAACATTATTTTATCTAGATCACCACCAAAGTGCTCCTTTTAATAATGTGCTGTTCAGATCTCACACTGTGTGTCCAGGGCAGTTTGTTTGTTCTGCAGGTGTTGCCTCCTCATTTTACAGAGCCTCTGCCTCTCTCACTTGGGTGGGGAAGGAAAGGAAGGTTCTCCAGACAAACTTGCCACAGATCTAAGTTTTAGATCGCTACATTTATTTGATTCCCCCTTCAGACTGGAATAATGCAATGGTAATAAGTGGATTGGGCAGAGCAGTGATTATCCCTTGCCTTTGGAGAGGCCCTGGCAGTTGTGCCTGAGTTTCTTGCTTTGCCCTGCTCAGCCTGGCTCATCCTCCCCCAGGACTGCCCTCCTGGGGAAGCACTGCAGGCACAGAGTGCTGGGAGCTCCCTGAGCTGTGCCTGATCATCCTGGGCGTGGGCACTGTTCACTCTTCTGCTTTTCCTCATGCACATCTGGCCTGATGTTGCTTCAGAAAGAGAGCTGTAGGGAAGACGGTTCCCTAGCAGCAGCCTTGGTGCATGAAAACAGGACTGAAAAGATGCTCCTGGGTCGTTTGGCTTCTCTTACACAAGTTAAAAGGTACTGGAGAATGTTGGTCCTAAATCTGCCCAGTTCTCTTTTAAATCCGTCTTCTTTGTCCTCGTTCCTTTTGTTAGACGTCATTTCAGAACAGTGTGAAAGGATAAAAACACCCTTCAAAGATTGAAGTTTAATATGCTGCATAAATTTAATTTATGATGAAGAATTCACTAACCTTGGCCACAACCAACTGCTCTTTTTCCCTTCTTTTCACTTAGTCCTGGAGTGAATTTTGTACCACCATGGGCTTCACTTCTTACAGATGCACAATCCCAAGGGTTTGGCCCTCTAAACAGAACAAGGTCTTGGGCAATGCTAAATTTGTTCCTTTGAGGCTGAGACAAAACAAATTTTCCTCATGCTGTAACACAAGCTTGAATTTTGCTACAAAACCCCTCAGTGCTGCTGTCTCCAAGGCAGAGGAGGAGGTTTGGCTCACCTGGAGATGTCTGGAGGGGCTGTCCCTGGGCTTCTCTGTGCCCCACATGGCTGTGACACAGACAATGCAGGATGCTTCCCCCTAGGTTTGCTTGCTGGATTTCCTGAGCATTTTCTCCCTGACTCCTGATTTTGCACCTTGTTCCCCTTGTTCCATCCAGCTGGGGGAGCAGCAGGGGCTGGGGCAGCACAATGTCCCAGCAAGCATTCCTGCAGTGAGGGGACAGCACAGCACTGACTCCTTGCTGGTCACTGGCATCTCTGCCCCACTCTAGCTTGGCATCCTCACAATGATTTTTGCCAGATTTGGGCAAGTTCATCCCTTTAATGTTCATTTAATGGTCAGGAGTGGAGCTCAGCAGCACCTGAGGTGCAAGGCTGTGAATTTGGGCAGCACTGCCACACCTGGGCGCTATCGGAGTCTGTGATTAATTGATAAAAGGTGAGTCTGTGATTATTTGGTAAAGGGTTTTATGTCTTCCCTCTCTCTGCCACCTTGCAGTGCTGCTTATCACAAAGGCTTTTCCTGGCAGCACAGAGCCACAGTTTGCAGTTCAGGAGTTGAGCATCCCAGGGAACCTTGTTGGGTAAAGATCACTGTGCTCAGAGAACTTCAGTGAAAAGTTTGGTTACACTCTGCTACCGCTGTTCCTTTGGAATTTGTTCCTTGCTGTTAAAGGTTTATAAATCATGAGGATTCCTTTGCTGATTCCAGAGGTGGCCATGGGAGCAGGTGGGGTTGTTTTTGGGGGGACTGTCAGTGACACATCAAGCACTGAGAGGAAAAGACATTAAATTCCTCCAAGAGCCAAGAGGAAAGGAAATTGAGTTCTGCTCTCTCTGGAGACAGAACTGTTCTACTTAGTGTATCCAGAAGGAAAAGTGGTTTTTTTTTTTAGTGCTGTAATCCCATTATTGGTGACAAGGTAAGCAAAATAGATTTTCAATTGCTGATTTCTAACGCACGCTCAGATCTGCTGTATAAACACTTGTGAATTTGCATTTGGTTTCACAGTCAAAGGAGTGATTCC